ATCAAAAAGAGATAGAAAAGCGGAGATAGATTGATCATCAGTCTTTGATGCTTTGATTCAATCATTATATTATTAGTCCTGACTCGTCTATTGGTGACCCCTGAGACAGAGAATTATTATACTGTACAGTACATTCAGCTATGCGCACATTGTCCTGCAAGGCGTAAGTCTGTCGGTCAATAAGATAGATCCAGCAAACTACAAATCAGGATCATCTGCGTCTTCAACTCTGGCAGTAGTAGGAACACGAGACGGTTCCGGCTCCTCCTCTAGTTGTTTCAACATGTTCTCTACGTCCTCCTCTTCTTTGCTTGGATCAGTGCTGGCGCTGGCATTGACATTGGCATTGCGATCCGACGAAGTCTCAGTCCCTGCCTGGGCTGGGACTGTCGGTACGTAGCCTGCCTTTTCCAGTCGGTCCATCTCTTCCGGTTCAACCAGTTTCCCCTGTCCCTTGATGGCGTCCTGTTTCTGTCGGACGACGGTCGGCACGAACTTGCTGACGGCTTCCTTCCGCAGATCCCGGATCTGGGGCGCGGCTTCGTAGACGATCTTGGGTTCAGGCGTCACCTCCGGCTTCGGTGGCAGTGGGTGCGGTTGACGCTCTCCTCCTCCTCCTTCGCCTCCAGCAGGCTCCTTCGGTCGCGGGCGCGGGATCGGAGGTGGAGTATCCCTGGGCATCGGAATCCTGCGAACGCTCTCGTCCGTGTCGCTGCTATCGCTCTCTTGCCACTGGTGGTGGTCCCCTTCTCTCCTCCTCTTTCCCAGGACGCCGCTCCGGTTTTCCTTTTCCCTCTGCGGTGCCTTTGTTGGGAACTGTGGCGCTTTGTCGCCCAGGGCCTCGCGAGCCTTGAGCACCGCACGGAGCTCCTTCTCCAGCTCCTCCAGGATCTGCTTCTCACGCGGCCTCAACGGCTGTCCGGACTCCTCGATCGCCTTGAGGTCGTTGATCTGCCGCTGGATCCGGTCCGGGTTGCGGCGCGCCAACTTCTCATTGCGTCGTGCCTGGACCTCCGCTTTGCCCTTCTTGATCGCACGCTGTTTCTCTAGCTTTCGCTGCGCCTGTGCGGGGTTGATGGCGCGCTCCTTGTCTTTGGCCATGGCGGAGGCGATCTCAAGGGAAGTCTTCTTGGGTGATGATAAGTTGGACGGTCAGGCGTCGGTGCAGGGATCGTCTTTTTTTTCTTGGGTAAAATCAGGCCGCAGAAACGTTGACGACAGAGCAAGCTTTGGAAAGCTACACGCTCGTTAGCTCTTGCAGCAGACTAGAGCCGCCGCCGGTGGGATTGTAGGAAGCTCACAGGTGCAAAGAGCCCCGAGGGCCCAGAGAGCTGCATGCAACGAAGAGCTCGCTCCTCCAGTCGCCGCTCGCTGGCGGAACTCGCGCGACACCAACCCAATAACAGCCGCCCGGAGTCCGCAGTGCTTCAGCCTCACACGTTGGGCAGCGGAAGAGGACTGGAGAGGGAAAAAAAAAAATCAAAAAATCGATGGTGGCGGACAGGATGGCATTGGGGATTCACGCCCAAGAAAATGGACGACAGGACAAGCGGCGATGGCGCGGATGCTGGGCAGGCCACCGCCCGTTCTCGACTCGGGCTGCGATAACGCGGGGGCAACACTGGACGAGATGTCCGCAAGGTCCAAGAGCCACTCAGGCCTCGAATCGATGGTGAATGCTGTAGACAGAAAAAAGAGTGATAACCACTGATAATATAACTACACCAGTAACACCATTGCCGCCTAAGGCACCTCTGGAGCCATCGTCTGGAACGCATCCTACACAATTGCTGCTGCCATGCCCAGCCCACTGCTCGACGTCGATCCAGCAGAGGAGAATTGATCCGGCTCTCGTCGTCTGCCATAATTGCTTTTTTCAACCCCCTTCGTCCTGCCAGCCATCCTACGCCTGTCTCCCCTCGCTGGCGGGCGTTGACTATCCCCCACACGCCCACCGCTGCCTTCTTCCGCCTTTTAGCCATCACTGTTCTCCGGCCGCCCTACTCTTTTCTCCCACCCCCTCCTCCTCTCGCCAGCCTCTCTTCCTCTCTCTCTCTCTGTCCATCTCTAGCGTGAGGGGCCGCCCGCAGTTCCTGCATTGCTCAGCGCTGCCGGGCGTATCTGCCGCCGTCTCCCCACTGCTCGTTCTCTGTCTCCTGTGTAACGCGCGACAGGCCGCCGCGGTTGCGTTCTTTGCCGCCGACGAACCATTGCGCCGGCGATTCACCTTCGTCCTCCCAGCCGGCCTCGCTCAACCCTGGCTGGCAGTCATCCGGTTCCCTTCAGCGCCAGGGAGAGAGCGCCGCTGTGAGTGTGGACATCCCCGTTAAGCTCCGATTCTCCTCCTCCTGCCTCCCTCCCTCGCCGTCTCCCTCTCGCGCTTCCCCCCTCCCGACGGCAACCGCTGCTGCTTCATCCTCCCCTGCTGTGCCCGCCGCTGCCGCCTCTCCAGTCATCATGAACTGCCGTCTGTCGCCTGTCTCTGGATCCAGATCGATCAGCGCCTTTTCCACCTCGTCGCTGTAACAGAGCATGTCTCTGCCGGGACCCAAATGTCCGTCGCAACCTCCATCCCCGATACCTCCCTTGGCCTTACCTCCTCCGAGATCCAAATCCTCCGACAGCAGCAGCAGATTGCGCTCCAGGGCGGGCATGCTGGCAACGTCTCCAGAGGCCGAGGATCGGGCCGGGACAGCAATTCCAGCTCCCGGGCTGCCAGCGCCGCCAGCAGTCAGGGCCGCCTGCTGCTGGATCCCATGAGCCTGAGGGCCCTTTCTCACCAGCTGGATCACCTTCAGGAACAGATCCGGGGCCGCATTGAATATGTACGTCACCCTAATCCTTCAGACTTTCTCTCCGTGTGAACGCGCCTGGTCTGACAATGGGAACAGCTGGAAGAACAAATGCAACAGTCAATCCAACACAGCTATGACCGTGCGGGCAATGTCATCCGTGACGCTGACGCCGAAATCGCACGTACCCGTTCCATTCTTGCCTCAATCGACGAGTTGGAGGATGAGCTTGCCAAGATCGGACACATCAGAGATATTGTCAAGTCGTTTCGCGCCAGAGTCGAGGGGCTTGACCATCGCCTGGATCAAGCGGCACGCAGGCGGTGACAGTCAGTATCCATCATGTCGCGGTTTGTCACCGATGGTACCGAGTCTGGACCCATCATCGGGCCCTCTCAGATTCAAAACTCGGCATGCGCTATGAGATTCGCCTCATCACTCTCCTGCTCTGCTGCCCTGGGGGCTTCGGTTACCAATATGGAGGTCCTGGTTGACCGCGGGGAGGTCTTCCTGCCTGCCATATCCGTTACATACCCTCTTCGTTTCTTTTTTGTCGCCGCTTTGCCTAAAGCCTGTTCGCAAAGAAAAGAGAATTGCTTATACAACGACCTGGTCCTCGCGGACGTACACCACGCCCTTAATCTGCGCGCAGCTAGCATCGCATAGGGGCCCTTGTAATGACATTCAGCCTAAAGAGCTTTGATGTTCTCTGTTTATTTTTATTTTTACTATTTTTTTAACCATTTTCTTTGCCCATGATTTCTTCCAGGGAGAAATGATATCATGACTGATAAAGAATATGCCTCGCGGCAAATCAGGATTCCCCCAGTTCACGACTGTATTTCTCACTTGACGAGGAATAGGAGGCGATCGGTGTATCGGAGTTCCTATTCCTTTTTTTTTAATTTTGGGGTTTGTGTTTTTTGTTGTCATTTTCAATTTTTTTTTCTGAGATTTGTTCATATATACACTTTCTGCTCACGCTACCTATTATATTGTCTTTTGACGAAGCTTTCTCTCGCTGTCTCTCTATGCACCCTGCATGCATCACTCACTTTGGGAGGCAATCGAGTGCATTTACGATACGTTCATTTCAACGATCTTCTCTACCCTTTATGTCATGTTGCTATGCTTCTTTCGTTCTACAATGCTGCTCGATCAGGTGGTCTCTGATAATGTGTACCTTCATTCCAGTTATGTTCTCGGATCTCTCTTTGCTAGGGCATGAGCATATATATGGAATGGAAGAGACAAGTGTTATGAGACAGAACTCACAGAGCTTCTCTGTTTGTTTGTAACTTCCAAGTATTGAGTTTATTGTTTCTGCAGATGATACCTCCATGACATAACGCGTTGTTTCGACAATATTAATCTTTTTTCTGGATTGTTGCCAGGCAGAGTGAGACTATCCAATATCTCTCTCCCTCAATTGCCCTTGAATTGAGAATAGTTGACGAATCCATTTTTCATGACTCGATTTACTAGGCTAATATTTACGGGAAACCCCGTGGATCATATGAAAGATCAGACCGGAGAGTAATAACCTGCGTAGGTAATAAATCATGTTCTTCGCACGGAGAAGCTGCGGCGTCAGCTCAACTCAGCTCCCTTATGCCATCTTTGCAAGTACAGGAACTAGGTAAATATGCTAGCGTCGAAGTAATTGCCGCTGACGAAGCACACCTCTGCAAGAACCAAGCAAGTCTGTCGAGCAAGACAAGGGATCCAGTGGTGTTCACCAGGATGCTAAATTATCGGCATGTCCTAGGGGTGATGCTTCGTCGACTGCGTCTCCCACTTCACATCCGCAAAGAATATATCAGGGCCATGACTTGCCTGTTTTGTGTTGAGAGGCAAGCAGGCGTTTTTCTATCCTCGTTGCTGCTGGATGGGAAAACTCCAAACTCTGCGGCACAAGCACAAGGCTGGCGATCAATGTGGGAGCCGAGGTTGGAGGTCTATCGCAAGTGTCCATCCTTGCGACCCCGCATCTTCTTTCTAGTGTCGTTTTCTCTCAACGCTCACCAAGATCTCTGCAGAGCTACGACACCCCAGACTGGTCCTTGACTACTTCTTTGTTCTCCTTCCGGCGTTCAGACAGCTTCTTGCTGCGTTTGTCAGTCTGGGGGAAGCGCTTCTCAGTTCCACAGGCTGTACAACGAACCACCCGGACATCTGCCCAGGGCTTCTTGCGATCCCGGCTGGCGTTTTGAATCTCCTCGACGCAAGTGACGTTGGGGACAAGGAGGATGTCGCAGCGCTTGCAGAAAGAACGTTTGACCTCGACCGGCAGGCGAAGCTGCGTTTTCAGGGACACCCCGCGCATCTGGGAGATGTACTGCCGGGGAAGAGACAATGAAGCAACCTTGGCGGCGTTTTCTTTGGCGCGCTGCATTTCCTTCAGGATCTTGTCGTTGTCAACGATCTCTGGGACTGTTCGTGGCGCCCTCGGCGGGGTATTATTGTCGTGGGTGGTCGTAGTCTCCCCCGCATTGTTGTTCTCTGAGCTTCCGTCCGGTCTGGGGAGAGCTGTGTGCGCAGACTGGAGATAGGCGGCCGCGCGGTGCAGATAGGATATTCGCGCCCGAAGGTGGCTCTGCGCTCCCCCTTTCTTCGCCATCCTTTATGGTTGCTGTTCTTTCTTTCTTTCTTTTGTGCTGTTTGTAGAACGACTCCGGCGACAAAAGGAGCAAGGCCGCTTAAAAGAAATAAACAAGCTGGTGGCCATCGATTCTTGAAATCTCGAAGATCGCCCAGCACCGCATCGCACCAATGACAGCGTCCGACACAACGGTGGCGACGGGACTGCGCTGCGCTAAACCAATACTGGCTAGTGCGACCACGGTGAGGCTGAGGCGGCTGACTAAGCTGCGGCTGGGCATCCAGCTCTTCTCTTCACTCCATCCCTCGCGACCTCTGTTCTTCTGTTTCTTTCATCCACTTCCCCCCTCTCAACTAGCTACGATCTCTTCGCGTGGAAGCATTCTTGCAAAACACCCGATTGCGTCCCAGTGGTTCCGCGATTTTCGGAACTTGTCGACATTTCCGCCCATTTTCGGCGTTTCTCTTCGTGTCCAGGCGCGTCTGCCAGTCGCGGTTCTCCAACACTCGCTGACTCCTTCGTTTTCCACCCGTCTCACAACCCACCATGTCTCACGAGGAGGATCTCATTGACTACTCCGATGAGGAGCTCCAGACGACCGATGCGGCAGCCACCACGACGACGACGACGACGACGACTGCCACTGCCGCTCCGTCGAACGGAGCAGCTCCGACCAAGAAGGGTGACCTGACCGTCACTGGAGGTCGTCCGGACAAGAAAGGCAGCTATGTCGGTATCCACTCGACCGGTTTCCGCGATTTCCTGCTCAAGGGAGAGCTTCTACGTGCCATCACCGATTGCGGTTTCGAACATCCATCGGAGGGTTAGTCTAATCACACACACTTTTTATCTCCTGCAAGCTTTCCTCCATTATCCCACATTGCCACGTCCGTCCATCCTCGCGGGGGAAGGCTGTCCGTCGCGCGATAAAAGTTCTGTCCCGCCCTGCAGGCGACACGAGGATCGCCCATGGTTTGTTTTGTCTTCGGGGAAATGATCTCGAAGATTGCGCTACGCTGTATTTCGCCTGCGGCGAGTGTGTCGGTCGTTTCCTTTGAGAGCCATGCATACCCTTAAATCCGACGTGGCGAATTTGTATGATTTCTCAAATTCTTGCCACAAAGGGGGATTGCTAGCTTTTGCGGAAGGAGGCGTCTGAAGGGCAGAAAAATCCCCATGTCTTCATGGGAGTGCGTCCTCGTGTCGGCCTGCAGAAGGTTTCGAGTTGGACCGGGGATTGCACTGTGGAACACATCGTGTTAATGATTGGATTTTGCTTGTCTGGGCTTCTGAGCGGAATTTGATTTTCCTTTTTTTATTTTTCGCATCATTCGTTTGTTTTTTGAGTTTGCGACTCCGAGGGGATGGACGGACGGACATTTACGCGATGCGATTCCGTTTTCTCAAATTTTCGTGCTTCGAACAAAGTCTAACATTCCACTTCGCCCATACAGTTCAGCAAGTCTGTATCCCGACTGCTATTCTGAATGTCGACGTCCTCTGCCAAGCCAAGTCTGGTCTTGGTAAGACCGCAGTCTTCGTCTTGACGACCCTGCACCAGCTCGAGCCCGTTCCTGGAGAGTGTCAGGTCCTGGTTATGTGCCACACCCGCGAGTTGGCCTACCAGATCAAGAATGAGTACGCGCGTTTCAGCAAGTACCTGCCTGATGTCAAGACCGCCGTCTTTTACGGAGGCACGCCGATGCAGAAGGACATCGAGCTGCTCTCTAATAAGGACACGTACCCCAACATCGTGGTCGGAACTCCGGGTCGTCTGAACGCCCTGGTTCGGGAGAAGAAGCTGTCTCTCCGCAACATCAAATGCTTCGTTCTCGACGAATGTGACAAGATGTTGGATCAGATTGGTAAGTTCTGGACTTCATGACTCAAATGGTACCCGTGCTCACGTTTCTTTTCACAGACATGCGCCGTGACGTTCAGGAGATCTTTCGCGCCACGCCTGCCGACAAGCAGGTCATGATGTTCAGCGCCACTCTTTCACAGGAGATCCGGCCGGTCTGCAAGAAATTCATGCGGAACCCGCTGGAGGTTTACGTGGATGATGACACGAAACTCACCCTCCACGGTCTCCAGCAATACTACATTAAGCTCAGCGAATCTGAAAAGAACCGGAAGCTCAACGATCTCCTGGACAGCCTGGAGTTCAACCAGGTCATCATTTTCGTCAAGAGCACGGTGCGCGCAACCGAGCTTGACAAGCTGCTGCGCGAGTGCAACTTCCCAAGTATCGCGGTGCACTCGGGTGTCAGCCAGGAAGAACGGTACGTTGGTCCAACCCGCTCATTGGGAAGACTAGTTTCTAACTTGATGCAGTATCAAACGCTACAAGGAATTCAAGGAGTTCAACAAGCGTATCTGCGTTGCCACTGACGTGTTCGGCCGTGGTATCGATATCGAGCGAATCAACCTTGCCATCAACTATGATCTGCCCGCGGACGCAGACTCGTACCTGCACCGTGTGGGTCGTGCCGGTCGGTTCGGTACCAAGGGTCTGTCCATCTCGTTTGTGAGCAGCGAGGAGGACGAGAGGGTCCTGAAGGAGATTGAGAAACGTTTCGAAGTGGCTCTTCCGTAAGTTCGCCGTCTTTGAATTGTAGTGATCTTCACTAACGGGCATGCAGCGAGTATCCTGAGGGCGGAGTTGACGCCAGCACCTACATGGCGTGAATTCAAAGATATTGAATTCGATTTATTACTCGCCTTTCTGTTGCCGAACTTGTGGTCCTCTGTTGCGTTGAAGTGATGATCCTCGATATTGTACCAAAAGGGATTTTTTTCTTTCTTTTTGCGGGGAGACTTAGCAGAAATTGAGAAAAGAAACAGAAAGGAATCTGAAAAAAAATGTTTTTTTTCCCCTTTACCTTTTTTTTCTCCCGTTTTTCTTTCTTTTAAATTCGTCTTGATATGTACTCGGGATGGGACAACTATTTAGATTACTGAATGCAAGGGAAGTTTTTGTGCTGTGTTTGAAATTTTTACTCTAGTATCGACTAGGTACGCCGTCCAAGTCTTCGAGAAGGCTTCTGGTATAGGTTGAACTTGTGGGTTAAGACAGGAAGGTAGGCGAATATAGCAGTAAGCAAGGAGTTAGCAAGGAGTTTTAGTCTTTGGTCGAGTAGTAGGTAGGTAGGTAATAAGTTAAAGAAATATCTTAATAAGCTGTAGGCTTTAACTATGTGTATGTGCATGCAATATTTTCCTTCTAGACCAAGATACGTAAGTAGTGTAGTGTAGTAGTGTAGTGTTCTTTTCATCTTCTTGTTTTTGCTCGTGTTTTAAAAACTTTTTTTCCCCTCCAATGTGTTTCTCTCTCTTCTTTTCTTTTCTCTGCTCTTCTTGTTTTCTTTTCTTTTTTTTTTTCGAGTACATATTAAATTGCACCTACCTCATCACATCATTTGAAATGACAAGTCTTACAGTAGATATATATAGGAAAGATAGATAAATAAAAGATCAAAGGAGGGATATAAAACCAAAAGTAAAAAAAAAAATAAAACGAAAGCGAGAACGCTTAAGCAACTTAATTAAGGGAGATAGACAGGTCTGTATGCAGTTAGCCTTCTGAATGAATGAATAATGAGATGAGATGGGATGGAATTTCAATCAGATAAACAAACAAATAAATATATGGCACGCACATAATCGAGATAGGAAATTCAACAGGGAGAAGGATTCTTAAAAGATTTTTATTTATTTTATTTTATTTTTTCTTCAAAAAAAAAAGTCGAAGAGAGGAAAAAAAAAGAAAAAGGGGTGGCGCGTCGACGCGACGCGACGCGACGCCACGACGACAATCAACAATTGATGATCAATCAATCAAGATGTGAGATGTTATATATATGCAGCACTCATCCAATGATATCTATCTCTAGCAAACGCCATGATGGAGCACAGTAAGTTAAGTACATAGTGCAGTAGTACAGAGTACATCCTTACAAATTGACATGAAGTGCGGCTGCAGCTGCAGCTGCAGGGGGAGGAATCACCATTATGCAAAATACAAAGAAATATACTGTCCTAGTGACTAACTTATATAATAGGGGCAATGGTGGAAAGGTTACACATCACATCACATCACTTGGACTTGCCTTGTCAGCGTCTTTCCCTTCTTCCGCTGTCTATTTATCTAAGCCTCACTCAGGCTTTAAGAATTACTAATTCAGCTCAACTCGCTTGTCCAATAGTTGCAACGTCAACATGCAGAGATTATTTGCTTGTTTGGTACTATTATATTAGGTATCTAACTATCCATGTACAGAGTACAGAATACTCTAAGTTGGTAGCAGACTGAATTAAGATTTAGCAATGCTAGTCTGATTATGTTATGCGTATATTGATGACGAACCCAGCAGGGAATATATAATAATATATCCTACAGTAAGAAGAGTACGCTCGTATGTATATAGTTCAAATCTTAGATACCTTGCCAGCTTGCCACGATTAATCGAGCCTGGCACTGACGTGTGGTACTTAAATAAACAGGTAGGTAGGTATTATTAATTAAAGTCTTAGGAGGATTAGAATCTATGATATTATTATTATTATTTAATAGTTTGGTTACCAACAACCATATGTATGGATTGGATGAATTGATCTGTCTATACATATGAATGGGATGGTTGTTTATTTTACTGTCTCACTCACGTCCTGAGTCGACGTCTTTAGTCCTGACGGTGCGGACGGAAAATACGAGCCGAACGGGACGAAATCGCTATAGAGTACTGAGCATCTCAAGGACTCTCAGGAGTGTGTTTATTATTGATTTGATGACGACGATATTATCTCATCAGAGGCTACTTTACTCAATAACAATAACTACTTACTCCGTACGGAGCACCCCCGTTACCCGTACCCACGGAGGACCCGCCCAGTCTCGGTCCTCGGTTCGAGAACCTACAGAAAAAAGAGAAAGATAGGGGAAAAAAAAAGTGATGATTTCATAACACTCCGTATGGAGTACACCGTCCGGGACTATATGTGGGACTGGGCCGTGGCAACATGGCTCGTGACTCGTGACTGGAGTTGGATAGTTATTTTTTTTGTTGTTGTTGTTGCTATGAGGAATGTGACGCAGTAATATTAGAGCTTCCCCATGTACTCTGTACTCTGTACAGTACATACATAGTTATCAGAAGAATACGTGTTAGACTGTGCTAAAGTATGCTGAGTTCCAAGTTGATGTAAGTCCACGCGTACCTTTATAAATCATTAATTAATAGCTAACCCTAGTACTCCCTAGTCGTCGTACACGTCGACTCGGCGGCTGTGGCAGCTGTCATCGTTAGTACCTATAGCTCAATCAAGCTATGAGAAACGACGGAGAAACATCCGATGCGAAACCTCTGGTTCACCAGACGACAATGCAGTGGCTGACATTCTAGAACCTTAGTACGGAAGACGGTATCCTCCGTCCCTGGCCGTACCGCTGGACGGTGGATGAGGCCATGGAACCGCGCAGTGGATAGCTACCTTCACCCTGGCACACGGCAGCACTAGCAGCCTGGTCGGGCCCGAGGATCGAATTATTATTCTTATTCTTAGCAGCACCAACGCGTTCTGATCGGAGCCGGCGCCCCTGGACGCAGCGGCCGGTCGCCTCCTCATTCCCGACGGACCCGCCAATCCCCACTGGACCCGGACAAGTGGAGACGCCATTAGGCAGAGGTCTAGAGCCTGCTGCCCCGATTCAAAGAAAAAACAGAAAACAAAAGAACTGGATATCCTCATGCAACGGCGTCGTGAAGCACCTTCACGATTCCAAACCAAGTTAGCTGCTCCATAAGGAATGCCTCTGGTTTTGCTTTGGTGAAGCGTGAAGTTCACCGGTCCGACAATAATCGCCCTTCTTGACTTAATTTTAGAAGGCAGGGTGGACTCCCTTCGTAATCGGTACCATGCGCCGAAGACTCCCGGACAGCACCCCTGATTCCACAAAGTTCAGGCCTCGTGTAACGGCTTGTTCCCTTCTGTCCCAAGGATGCAGCGAGTGGGTACACGGATGAGTAATGACAGTCGTCTACGCCGGTCAAATTCTGTGGAATTATTTCAGTGCTGCCCGGCTGGTGTCCATACATGCACGATCTGACAGCGAATATCCCAGGCACAGACTATCTTAGGCCTATACGGATTGGTAGAGGAAGGTGTACAGAACGGTACTCCGATTGGTGTGCATTAAAGAATTGTCTGTTTATCGCGTTGCTTTTCGAATGGTGATCGTCACCCTGCCGAGTTTTAAGCTCAGCCGGCAAGTCGATCAGCCCAGTTGGCTGCGCCGCTGCGGCTGGTCGATCGCCCACTCCAAGAGGCTGCTGTGGCTTTGCTGCACGGAGTACATACTCTGTTCGGAGTACGGTCCATGAGAATAACGATGCAGATGCTGCAGATCGACCAGTGAGATGCAGTTCGAGTCGGATTCGCACTAGACAGGGTTTACTCGTGTGCACGAGTACAATTAATATTCTTGTGTGAAGATCGGTGATAAGCCACATACCTCGCGGAGTGGCTCTATTGCAGTCAATTATTGAAGAGGGGACGTGTTTCTGCAGGCGAGCGACGCACGCGCACGCGTTCCTCGTGGAGGTTGGTGACAAGAAGAAATCTGGCTCATCCTGGTGGAGGACTGAAGCTTGTACAGCCACTGAGCTGCGGTCTGACGCGGGACCTGCCTATCACTGCCGAAGACGCGGGCCTCTTGCATACCAGAGATTACCAGGAGCAACGGCAGACTGACAAGTAGCATCGGCACAACTCAGATACAATCCCTCTCTAAGTCTCTATCTCTGTAGAGCTTTGAGTCCGAGTACTGAGGAAAGGAACAAAAGTAATGCGGTGATAGCGTCCATAGCTGGTGGCCGCCCAAGCTTAAATTCAGACACGGACATCTATGACAGACGTGATCCCGCAGATTCCTGTCGATTCGACGTCGCATCGAGTATTGACGAAGTGGATGTTTTGGCGTTTCCCAATCCGGGATTATCCTGGTCACGATAGCCAAACATCAGCCACTGGCAAGGTAGGCGCTGTCTGTTGCCTAAGAAAAGAGGCACGCACCTGCTGTGACGCTTCCTCCTGCATCCCGCCTTATCTCGTTGTTAACATCAATGGCGTATCTCAGGTTCCATCGCCAAGGGGGCTCCAAGCCCTAGCAAGCCACTAATCGAGTTTCGTAAGCAAATGTCGTACAGGTACAACTGGATTACTGCCACGACCCATCCAAGTGGGCGCAGTACAGGATTAGTCCAACCTAGTTAACTCGATCGCGCCCAATTTGGACGTCAACACCATGCTTGCAGCTGGCTGAGAATTCCGTCTGCTAGTGTTAGCGGGATGCGCAGATACCAGGCGTCGTGTCAGCGCGATAGTTCCTCAGATAGGCTTCTTGCGGCCTTGCCAGGCTGTGGAATCCAGAAGAAGCGAGCATGCTCCTGGGAGCAGAGATCGCAGACGTCACCGGCCTGGCGACTCGGGCCGGGGCCGGCGAGCAGCTAGAAAACAAACAGGATAGGGCGGCGGGCAGGCCACGCTGCCAGTTGCGTGGTGCAGCTGTCTGTCTTCAGCCTGTGGCGGTGGGAGTGGCCCAACCACCACCTCGAATTCTAAGACATCCGCCAGGCTACCTGCCAGATCTTTGTCGACGAGCTCGAGATCTTGTCTCGACGGCCTGAATCCTGTCTGTCCGTCTCTGTTTTATCTCCTTTTCTGTTCGTGCGGCTGTCTGTTTTCTGTTTTCTCACCACTCATCGATCCAGGGACGAGGCCTTATCGCGTTCGCCCGTTCCGGCTTCCGCATCCAGGCTGGCGGCCCAGGGACCCGCAAGCCGTTGGCATTGCCATTGCCATTACCACAGCCCATCCCCAGTACCAGACTACGGACTACCGACTCCAGCACCGCTGCTACCTGCTACGCTCGTCTCAGCAGCTGCCTCAGTCGACTCACCGTCCCCATCCCATCCTCTCCCATCCTATTCCCTCTCTTTCCCTCGTTCTCTCCCTGTCTCCGCCCCCCTCCTTCGCCCTTTCCCTCGCCCTTCTCCGCCCCTCGTTCACTCGTTTTATCCTACCAATTCCCCCGTGGTCCCTTCCGACTCCGGTTCCTTCTTTTTCGACTGTTCGGGGTTTTCAATCTGGCGGTGATTCGACGCGGCCGCCATCGTGCTTGCTCTCCGCAGGCAGCTTCGACGTGGAAGCTTCCCGCCAGCTCTGCTGCCTCCTTCCGTGCCTCGCTCCCATCTGGCGGTGCCTCCTTCCTCGAAAAAAAACTCTGCTCGTTTGTCTCTGCAGGCGTTGACGCCTGTCCCGCTTTCCTTTTTCCTTCAGAATGGCCCCTACGCCGCCCCGGTTGCGCATCTTATCAGGTACTGTGTTTGGTTTCTCTCTCTCTCTCTCTCTCGCGTTTCCCTCTCGACCTTGCATCGTACCCAACTAGCACCCCTCGTTTTTCGGCATATCCACCGCGTCGCAAGAAATGGGCAGGCCACTGACAAGAGTCTGTGTAGTCGGTGGTAATGCGGTGTCCGCTTTCCTCTCCTGGAGGCTGCAGGCGACGAACTCCTGCGATGTGACGCTCGTCTGGAAGTCGGGCTACGAGTCGGTGGCCCAATATGGCGTGTCTTTCAGGTAGGCCATCTCGCCATCCGTCGGACCCGGAATCCCCGAATTCTCGTTGACCAGCGGAAAATAGATCCAAGACGTTTGGAAATGAGCGGTTTAAACCTCGTCATGGTAAGAACATCATGCCTCTTTCTTCGTTTGTCATCAATCCGCTGATACCTTGTGTCACTGCAGTTGTTCGCACTCCCGAGGAAGCGGCCTCAAGAGAAAACGCTTACGACTATGTCATCCTCTGCGTGAAAGCGTTACCCGATGTTTATGACTTGGGGTCCGTCATCGAATCCGTCGTCACCCCTCAACATACATGTATCCTCGTCAACACCACAAACACAATCGGAGTGGAATCCCATCTGGAGCACCGGTTTCCCACCAATGTCGTTCTGTCTCTGGTTTCCAACGTCAATATCACGCAGATTGGCGCCAGCGAGTTTGAACACCAGGGGTCGTCGTCAGAAATCTGGGTCGGACCTGCCAGCAAGAATCCTTCCATCCCCGCAGCTATCCAGAATGATATGGCTTCGGCATTGGCCATCACCCTCAGTTCGGGCCAGGTAGATTGCAAAGTCTCGTCCAACATTAGGCAGGAGCAGTTTGAGCGCATGATAGGGTAGGGACCCTCGTTTTTCCTTGTCAACCTTAAACAAGACTGTTGGTCGGGCGCTCATTCTCTGTTACAGGCCTATTGCGTTCCATCCTGCTAGCGTCCTCTTCGAAACTCCAAACCACGCTCAGTTGCTGGAGAAGGTCGGTGTACGGCAGCTGGTATCGGATGTGATCGACGAACTCATCCAGCTGGCTACGTCGCAAGGCTGTTCGTTTCCGAGTGACTTTCGCGAGAAGACCATCCAAAAGATGATCGCCTCATCCGACACTCAGAGCACTATGTACCAAGATTTCATGGCCCGGAGACCGATGGAGGTCGAGACATATCTAGGATCTCCCATCAAACTAGGAGTGGAAAGCGGTGTGCGCCTTCCACGCATTGAAACATTATACGCCATGTTGCACCACGTCAACACGGTCAACCAAACCAAGCCGCAGTCAGCGCCTTCACCGCAACCATCGGTGGTGGTCTCTCAACCTCCACCTCCACGGACCTCTTCAGTGCCTCCTCCCCAGCGACCGATGGCGAATGGAATGCGTTCCAGTCGAACCTCATCAGGCATGGGAATGCCTCCCCCACCGCAGAGACGAGGGCCACCCCCTCCGGGTGGCCCCATGAGACCACCAAGTGGTCAACCTTCTCCGAACAGGATGCCCCGCGATACTTCCCTTGAGGATAACGGCCTGGAGGAATTCAGTCATCTTGTCGTTTATGATGACTTGCCCGACAGCACTCAGAATAGCAATGGCAGCACTCAGAACAGCAATGGCAACCATTCCTCAGACATGCCCAATGGCGGAGCTCCAACGGCCTCCGAACTTGCCCTTCGAGAGCGCGAGTTGCAACTCCGTCAGCGCGAGCTGCAGCTCCGTGAGCGAGAGATGAACATGAGGCGAGGCGGTCGGAGGGGCCCGCCTCCTCAGCCCTCCTTCGATGAAGACGACGAGGATGACTACTTCGATCCCATGGAATTCCGTCCTCCACCAGGCATCGATCCTGATAACATTGACATGATGAGTGTCACATCCCGCCGAAACAGAAAGACACCGAGCGCCAGCCAGCTGCGCAAAAACCCTGAGAGCGCGGGCTCAAGTTCGCGTCCTACCTCATCCTTTAGCCGATTATTCGGTGGAGGGAGAAAGAGCACGAGTTCCCGTTTGATCCAAGAGATCCCCACCATCCACGGTTCCCTTTTGGATGATCCCTTGATGGGCTATTCGTCCAATAGATATGGATCGGTGGACAGAAAGGAGATGCACATCGAGTCTAGGGCGAACTCCATGACCGCCAGCCGCATGGGTGATTATGGCCCTGGCCCGTACCCGCCCAGCAGGCGAACAAGCCAGTCGCCCGGAGGGCAATTCAGTCCCGGTGGACGTGGCATGGGCCGACCGGCTACAGCTCAAGATTCCTCATATGGGCCACCGCCGAACGGGATGCCGCAGGGCGGCCGTCCCTCTCCTCCCACGAATATGCGGGCCCCAGTTCCGAGACACCCTCCTGGGCATGGAAATGCGGTGGCACCGCAGCAAATGGAGCAACATCTAGGGGTGAGCAATTCATATCCAGCCAAGGGCTCCCCTAATTCAAGAAGTCTGACTGGTAGTGCGAGCGCCAGCGCGGAGAGTGGTGACAGCGGAGCGAGTGCCAATATCGATTCCGAGAACTCGGCTCATAGCAGTCAAATCAGCCTAGGGGCCCACCCAACTCCCATGTCTGTTCGTTAAGAGAAAAGTATCTAACCTAGTTACCGAATTTTATGCGTCATGACAACCCGGTCGCGTACAGATTTATATCTAGACTTGGAACCTCGATCGAGAATCCGGAGCACTCTTTTTTGGGGAGGGAAAATTTGGTGTTGTTGATGCGATGGTGTCATCGCCACGGATGAAACTCATCTTCCCGGCCCATGGCGCTATCTGTTTTCTTTTTCCTTTCAGCAAAAGATGTTTGCAGGCCACGACGGCCGTGCGTGACCTGTTGCATCCTTTTCGCTCGTGGTTTCAGATGATCTATATCTTTTTCTCTAATGAATGCCTGGGGAAAGGAAAGGGGAGTCGAAAACTAGGGCTCTGCTGCGTTGAACTACTTCTTCTTGTCATGCTTAGGGACATAGGGAACATATTCTTGCCGTTTGCTTTGGTGTGGGCTGGGCAGGTGGACTTTCTCTGCTTCTTCACGGTATATTGCTTTATTATTATTACTACTACTACTATTATTACGAGGTCAGCAAGGGTTTGCTGGCCATATAATCGCATCACGCTCACCATTACTGCACCTTCACCATCCGCCACATGAAAGTCCTCGTCTTTTTCTGTTCCTTTTTATTTGTACGACAGTTGGTATTCTGCATTACTGGCGCATTCTTTGTTCAACCCCCTATACGGTATTCCTTTCCTGTTTCTTCCTTGACTTTGGTTTGTGTCAGTGCCTTTTCTTTCCAGAAATCATCCATTCTTGTGATATTCTTGTTGGCTGGTCGATGCTGGTCGGCCCAGCTATATCTGTTTCTAATGGTTTGATCCCGGGCGTACGAAAAGAGCGGAGGATTCGATCTGTTAGGTTAATTGATTGACTCGACTGGGTTCGGATGGGCCTCTAATTCAATACAAAATTGCCGCACGTGGCCACTCGTGCCTGACTTGAGGTCGGAAAGTTCCTTCAACCCTGGCATAATGCGTAATTTGTTTTTCCTCCCGGGATGTATGTATGTACAGTACATAATAGAAGTCTCGAGGTCATGTCAGTTTATACAATGCACGTGACTCTGACGGATCTAATTAGTCCCCGCACTCTCGCCGATGTCAACAAAACCAACCACTCTTTAGAAGAATCGGTCCAGTTCAGAGAAACAAGAAACCATTCGTTCAAGATGCCACCATCTTCTCATCAGCATACCAATTCCCAGACGTTTTCCAGACCCTCTATTCTTCCGACGACGACGACGGCCGGCACCGCGGCCGCCTCATCCAGCATGTCGACCGCCAAAGCTCGCCAGTACGCCCATCTCCACTCCCAGCTCGCGCAGCTCAATGCCCACTTGGCGGACACGGAGAACCTGGTCCGCATGACCGCTGTCCAGGCTGGTGATATGCGTTTCTTGGGTGGGTACATTGGCGGTTTGTTCATGGGGGCGGCCAAGGTGTTGGGTGAGGAAGGTGTGAAAACAGACGGCAGCGAGGCAGCGACCAAGAAAGAATGATATTGCGGCTGATTGGCCAGACCATAATAGTTGGGTGGGGGGGGGGGGGGGAGGGGGGGAATGAAGCTATGGGATATATTTGGGATGATTAACCGCTAATGCTTGAATATCATGAATTTTTTGTTCAAGTGAGTAAGGCCTTTTTTGAGTACGTTTATATAATCGTGGCTATTTTTCTGACAGAAGTTTTAATTATTTGCAACAGAGGTGTTCCCCGAGTTGAGGACCGAAATGATGCCAGAGGGAAATAAGGCTTCATTCCTAGCTGAGATTGAATCGAACAGGCTACAATTGTGTGGCTAGATGTTCTATCAACACGACGATACCATTACGGAAAGGCGTCTTGCATGGTCACCGAGTCCAGCCGCTACGTTGATTGAAGCCGGTCTAGCTCTCCACAACAAAACCACCGCCCAGAATTATAGCTGGTTCCTCAATGTTGTGGTGTTCGTAGCTGGATGTTGTCAGCACTATTGGGAACCTTAAACGAGTTGAGCGCATACTGGAAGGCATACCTCAGCGTCCCAACACCGCCTGCTTCCAATATGAGAGCAGTCTCTGTGAGAGGTTTTCCAATCCAACGCATAGCAAAAGCCCTCAAAATGTGGCCATGCGCCACAATGACAATGTCGCCCTTTTGCGTTCTTATCGGCCGACTCTCCGAAGCACTTGCTGTGGTATTTCGCTCTGATTTCGGCGATGAGGGCGTCCAGCCTGCGACAGACATCTTCTGGTGATCTAGTTCAAATTGCAAATTGTGAGGATAGAGTGCCAGTTTCTTTGCAAATGGGAACATCGTCTAATTTTAAATGTCGCATATGTCATAAAAGCACAAGAACGTGTACAGGGTAAACTCACTCTCCGCCCGGACAACCATCCTTCCAAATATCCCATGGGACCTCTCCCTTCTGCTTTCTGAGTTCTCTGATCTGCTGGCTTGTTAAGCCTTCATAATCGCCATAATCCCATTCGCGGACTGCCTCTGTGACTTCAACTGTGGCTTCTGTTCGGATGGGTTCTTCGCTCTCCGGCTTCCGCGTTTCTTGCCACGGAAGTCTTTCTTTGCACCCGAGGCCAAGGAGCTCCAGGGTTTTTTTTTGTGCGCGCTTCCGCGGGGAGACATAACTATCCATTGCGTCCTGGTCAACCAATGGCATACAATGGCATAATAGGAAACACACATCAGTGCAACGGGCATGATACATACACATGAGCTATTCTTTTGGGTGCGATCAACCGATCGTCCCCGACGAGCGCTTTCCCAGTCGCCTTTACCCGCTTTTCTCCATTGGCAGTCAGGGGGATATCCGTAATGCCCGTGTGCCGGCCGTTGAGAGACCATTCGGTCTCTCCATGGCGGATGATAAAGCAGCGTGGAGTTGCCATTATTCCTCTGTATGCCCTGGGAGAGTCCTGAGTGGAGAGTATGAAGTCTAACTACGGTAATACTTGTAAAAAGAATTCCACTGTTTTGACCAGGGCGGTCTACCCTTCGTATCTTATGCTACAGTCGCGTTGTGTTCGTCGTAGTGGGGGTGCCAGTCTGGCTTAGGTACCAAGCTGACTAAGATCTGGAGAGTTTAAGGAACCCCGCGCCTGACGACGTGTTAGATATCCTATCACCACCGTCAGCACAAGTATATCTTCATTTATCCTTTTGATCATCATCTTCATCATCTTCGTCTTCATCTTTTACCTTAACTGCTTATCTTGAGAATAATGTTTTCTGTCTTGCCTTTATCGTTATACTATACAACGGGTTTAGTATGATGAAGTAAGCTGTTCTTACTTCTGTCATTTCTCTTGTTGTTCTATCGTTGTTCATATACGCTTATATTTTGTTTTTCTTTTTGCCTATCTCTCTTCTGGTGAGTTACTTGCGGAATATTCACATATTCCCATCTTAGTTTCAGATTAAGCGTTTCTGTTGTTGAGGCCAGATACTGCGTACCTGGGTAGGTAGCCCCTCTTTACTCCTCCGGTGCTATTATTGGTAACCTTAGGGACTTGGACGTTATCTAATCTAGATACAGATCGTTCCAATAGCAGATCCATCTATTTTCTTGGCACGCCACCATGCCAAGCATCTGCTTATGTCATGGCGATCCATCCCGGACCGGACTCGGAGGCAAAAAAAAATTTTTTTGATGAATCTCTCCACCACGACTCGACTCTTCTATCACAATTGATCTTCTTCCATCAACAAAGCAGCTGCCGGGCTAGCTCAATCGGTAGAGCGTGCGGCTCTTAAATGAGACCCACCGCAAGGCTGCGGGTTCGACCCCCGCGTTCGGCTGTTCCTAAAAATTGCCTTGCTTTCCTTTTTTTTTCTTATCTGATGTTCTGCTATATTACAGTGACTTGCTTTTCTTCCTGATCTGTATTCTGCGCTGGAAGAAGTGGCGGAGAAAGAAAGGAATTCGTCACGACGTTTCTTTTTTTCTCTCTTCTCCCTTTTCTTCTGATGGGTACTGTACATATAATGAATGGTTTTGGTATTCTCGAGCTTAAGAAAATGCTTTGCGCAAGATACTCGGACGCAGAGATTAACATAGCATCTGGGAATATATATATTTATATTCTACGAGTCTTGTGAGAACTGATACAAGGGAAAGAAGCGGCTTGTGCTTTGGTCCACAGCCTTACATCTCGAGCCACATGATTTCTGCTCGCAATCCATAATACTAAAATACCAACCAGGTGATCAACTACTGGACATTGCAGGCTATTCTCTGTTATCTGAGTTGGTTGTGGCGTCGCGGTTGATTTTAAGTGATGACTTCATCTTGGGAAGAGCGTACTGGTGGTACTCGAAAAAAAAAAACAGCGTTTCAATATAAATCGAAAAATTGAAAACATAAAAAGAAATGCGGTCTGTGTGCCTCGATCACACGACCTGGATCCAGATATTACTGACGAAGTTCTTGAAATTACTTCAGTCTTCCACTCCGGTTGATGTTGACTAAACAGGCCTGCAACTCGTCGCAGGGTATTATTATAGGTGAATAGGTACCTATTTTTACTATAGTAAGACCATATAATAAAGAGCCTTATAAAGGCTCCAGACATTCGACCCTCTGTATTCCTGTAATATAAACCTATATAAAGCCTATAGAGTGCTAATATAAAGCCTCCAGGTGAGGCACTGTCAACCCTACGGCAATGCTTAGACGTATAATCAGGGCTAACGTAATCCACCACCGAGCTGCGCGGACCACCGAGCTGCGCGGCCACCACCTCGGCCCCCCCTATCATCGGATTTATCGCGATTTACCAACGCACCGCGTCATGGCTGATATATCAAAAGAAGGGCGTATGCAATTAGCACTTGAAGCCTATAAGAAAGGTCTTTTTCCATCAAAAACTGCAGCTGCCAAAGCTTTTGACGTGCCTCCAAGGACCTTTATGACACGTGTTAATGGGACTACTGCTCGCAAAGATTCAACTGCAAATTGT